GTCCCTGCCTGCCAGCATGGTGGTGTTTACATGATGGTTCAAGTGACTTCAAAAGCATCATATTCAAAAATATTTACAAGTTGTATTTTTCAGTGTAAATGATTTAATTTGATAACGTATAGATAATCACATTATTATAATTTAACTTATATATCAAATGAAAGAATATGAAATATAAGCAACTCGGCACGGAGCGATCGCATATTGCATCAGCTGCAGCAGATATCAGTTCGTCAGTGGCACGGGTACTGGGGAAGAGAAATAGCACTGATTACAGCCACAGCTCGAGTGTATATTGTGCGTCTTATAAGATTGAGTAAGGTTTATACTGTCACGTTTACTGATTTTTGCTCATTGTTATATAGTATGACGCAGTTATCGACTGCATAATGTATTCTGTCTGCCATTTTTGAGAGTGTTGGTAACCAAAAAAAAAAATAATAATAATAATTGACACATTTCTCAAAATGTCTTTTTTATGATTCACAGAAGAAAGAATGTCATAAAAGTTTGGATCAACTTGAGAGTAAATTATGATTTTTTTGGTGAAGTATACATTAAATTTTTACTTCTAAAGCACAAAAGATGCTAACGGAGGGTCACAAATAAAAATGTGTTGAAAATTTACTCATCCTCAGGCCATGCAAGATGTAGATTAGTTCGTTTTTTTCCATTGGAACAGATTTGGAGAAATTTAGCATTACATCACTTGCTCACCAATGGATCATCTGCAGTGAATGGGTGCCGTCAGAATGAAAGGCTAAACAGTTGATACAAACATCAGAATAATCCAAGTCTTGTGAAGTCAAAAGCTGCATGTTTGTATTAAACAAATCCATTATTAAGATGTTTTTAATGTTAAACAGTATAATACGAGTCCTCTATCCAGTGAAAAAGTCATCTTATCTGAATCAGGAGAGAAATATGCACAGATTCAGCACCTTTATAAAATGGCCCAAATCCGTTCTACACAAATATGTCAGCGGATTTTAATGTAAGAGGGCAACAGGGAATGGACATTTTCACTGGAGGAAGTGTTATTATGGATTAAGGATTATAAACTTTTCCCTTCACAAGACATTGATTGATGGACTGGGGTCGTGTGGATTAAACATTTCAACACATTTTTTATTTGTGGTCGAACTATTCCTTTACAAGGCCTGCCTTCAATTTGTATGACCCCCAATTTAACCCCTGCATAAGACAATAAATAAGATTTATATTCCGCTTTTACTCAAAACTCACTTTAAACCACCATCAAGTTTTTGTAATAACTTCCGATTGCCGTGTGTGTTTTGGCCATGTATTGTTGCTGAAATTAAATATGTTATTACCTCTGAGTCAGAGCAGCGATCATGGAAGAGAGAGCACAGGCAGACAGCGCTGGAAGCTGCTAATGCTCATCAGTAAATGCTCATCATTTGCACTGATTTATTGTGTTGGTTACATTGTTTCCTTTGTGCAGTGGCTCAGGAGATGAGTCTTTGAGTCTGTATAAAGATCAACAAGCTGAAAAATAAAACCAAAGTTTTTTTTTTTAGATAATGTAATCTTGTTAAAATACATTTCATAAAATTGGTATCGAAAAAAGTATCGTTCAGGAACCGGTATCGAAGTCAAGGTATCGGTATCGATATCGAAAATTTTTGAACGATACCCAGCCCCACCTATATCCAAGTATTAATTTTTCATTTGTTAAGTAGACCTGTAATAAGCAGGATAATGTAGAATCAGCCAGACATTATCACAAATTGAACACCGACAGGTTGATCAGGCAACCATCTACATTATATATATATATATATATATACACACACACACACATATACATACATGTGTGTATATATATATATATATATATACACATATATATATATAAGCTCGATACCATATAGTGCCCCCCCCCACTTAACAAATCTTTTGAGTCTGTATAAAGATCAACAAGCTGAAAAATAAAACCAAAGTTTTTTTTTTTAGATAATGTAATCTTGTTAAAATACATTTCATAAAATTGGTATCGAAAAAAGTATCGTTCAGGAACCGGTATCGAAGTCAAGGTATCGGTATCGATATAAAAAAAATTTACGATACCCAGCCCTACGTAGCGCTGCACCACATTTTTAAAATTTGAACACATATGTTTTAATGTACACCAGTGGCTTAGGGGGGCCCGTCATAAAGTAAGGGGGCCGCTCTATATTAAATGTGAGCATTTTCAAGTGTTTGTGCGGAGTGTGGAAGCTGAATGACAGCGCCCTTATACTGCATGACAGTTAATTTGGAATCGCAGGTGCTATCAGTTGCAATTAAAATACAGACTACGAATAATTACATCATTCAAATCTGGTAAGGGTCTACATTTATTTGTGTACACTCACAATAACAACAAAACGTTGTGCGCTATAAAATAATGAAACCAAACAGGATACTATTTCTGCCGTCTCTGTCCCTGTGAACTTGAGCGCGTCAAAAATGAACCAAAACTCTGTTGCTTCACAGACATGAGAAATATATCTATAGAACGTGAATTGTTTTAATAATGAACCAATTCAAATAGAAAACAAATATTCTCAGATTATGTCATCCGTATGATACATGTAGGCTATATTGCGCATCCACCACACAGCATTATTTGTCAAACTATATTCAAGCCATGTGAATTCATTGTACCATTTTGGGGAAAAGCAATGATTCTTTCCGGCAAATTCAGTGTAAAGGAATACGGTCATCATACGGTGTTTTGGAAGTCTCACCACTACACTCCTGATGAAATGTTCGTGTCGGTGTCCTGAAAACAGCTGTTGCCGCTTCGCTGTCTCCTTGTGGAAAGCTGAAGCAGGCACTGACATAGATGGCAAACTTTCTCTTTCGCACTTTGCGTGATTTCTTGAAAAATTTTAATATTGTACTTTGTGCAATCGCCATTTTTGCCGCATGTAAATGAACTCTCACACAAAAAGATGATCAGAGATTAGGCTACGAACAGCACATGACATTATTAAACCAATTAGCACAGCAAAGCCTATAGCACTCAAATGGCTTGAAATCGAAACTACTGCGGTACAGTTTGCGACTTAAATGCAAATTAACCTGTAGCAAAAAGTCTTTTGTAGATTCTAATTACAGGGGCTCTTGCCGTGTCCACTGGCAAATCACTTTCTGATTTGTCAGTGGACAATGAACATTGAGAATAAATATTAATATACGCATTCTAAGATAACATTCTATTATTTGTTTGTCACTGGTGAGGCCAGAAATTATACTGTAGTGAAGTTTCTTCAATTTCAGAAACAATTATACAAAAAAAATTGTCACCTACTTGATATCTCGACTTTCAGCTGTTAACTATACATTATGTTGCATAGAATAGTACACTGATGTTTCAATATAAAAAGTGTATTTACACATACAAGTTCCCATTCGAATGGTCTCTCCCGTTGCGTCACTGACGATTATGGGGAAACTCCTGTTTACTCTGATACTGAAGACTGATTTGATCACATTCGTGTAGCTGCATGAACCAATGGCGCTTCAACCCGCCAAAAGGGGTGGAGCCGACTGCTGTATAAGTCGGCTCTGAGCACCATTTTGTCCAATTTTTCTCCTTCAGCAAGGAAGATCATCTCCTTGCCGGAATCTGAAGCAAGAAGCCAAAGCAAGAAGCTCAGCCCCTGCATGATGCAGATGGGCACGCATAGACTGCGCTCACCAGAACGGAATGCTCTCACTGAGAGAATGAGTCTCACCCTTCTCCACTCACGGATCACCTTCTTCAATGAAGGCAGCCTTGATCTCCCCTTTCTCCCCTCTCAGCTAGCTCTGAGAAAGAAACAGTGGAGTCACGGGGATAAGCAACCGGGCTTGAGTGATCTCACACCAGCACAGGTCCTGCGTGCTCACTCTCCCCGCAGCACTTTGATCCACCAGTGTGTTTTACATGTGAGGATCAGCGCCCTTCGTCTGCATCGAGCAGTTTGATCTTTTTAGGCGGATCAGAGGAGAATGCTGTCACCTATGATTCTGTATCGCTGACAGCTTCACCAGGCTGTGGAGAATCTCAGCTTAGAATGGTCGGCTCCGGAAGAGCCTGCCCGTAGCCGTTTAGATGAATGATGCCCGCTGGGTTGTCGTCAACAAATCTCCTGCTAGAGTTCACAATGAACTTATCAAGACGTGGCACGCCCCTACTCGGCACGTGTCAACTTTTATATTTCTGCCGCCCTCACCTCTCTTGACGGCATTGAAGTAAGAGGATATGGCAAGCTTCCCCACACGTCTACCTGCCATCTGCCCGGCGTATTTGCAAAGCGCTTCACTGCAGCTCAAAAGTCATTGCAGGTCATGCACCACTTCTTGCCTAAGTGCTCCAGCCCCGTAGAATGAAGTTACTCACTCCAGTTTGCTCACAGGCCACTTCGCCATGGAAACAGTTCCTCTAGTGAACAGCGAGGTTTTTACAGCTGCTACTTCCTCATTCCCAAGAAAAATGGCAGGCTCAGGCATCTGAACTGTGCGATTATGAATCGCCCATTCAAGATGCTGACTTGGAAGCAGATCCTCACACAAATATGCTGCAGGGACTGTTTTTTTATCTGTGGATCTGAAAGACGCTTACTTTCACATCCAGATAGCCCCTCATCACAGACCGCTCTTGAGATTCACGTTCGAGGGGGTGGATTATCAATTTACAATCTTATCATTCGGACTGTCTCTGGTCCTATGCACTTTACAAAGTGCACGTATGCTGCTCTTTCTCCTCTGAGACGGATTGGAATCTGCATTGTGAGTAACCTAGACGATTGGCTGGTCTTAGCCAGATCGAAACAGGAACTCATCGCTCACAGGTCGCTGCTGCTCAGCCACCTGGAGTGGCTTGGGCTACTAATTAATTTAGCCAAGAGCTTTCTGTCTCCCAACCAGCGAGAAGTCTTCCTTGAGACAGTTATTGATTCTGCCCAGATGTGGGCATGGATTACGCCGGAATGCTCCCTGATAATTCAGTGGCTTGCGGCGTCATTCAGACTTGGGACTTCACATCCCCTCAGGGCTTTCAGAGGATGCTTGGCCTCATGTCAGCCACTTCCTCTGTGATTCCTCTGGGTCTGCTTCACATGCGGCCCCCTTCAGTATTGATTCAAAGCCCATGTTCCATCCTACGCTTGGTGCCTGCGATGTTTTCATCTCAGGATAACCCATCGCTGCATCAGAGCTGTGGCCCCTTTAAAAACACCTCACCTGTTTCAGTCAGGCATCCTGTTGCGACTGACCTCCAGAAGGAAGCATCAGAATCAGAAAGAGCTTTATTGCCAAGTGTGCTTACATACACATGGAATTTGTCTTGGTGACAGAAGCTTCCAGTACACAGACAGGTTGACAAGTGACAAGACACAGATAACAAAATAAAAATAAGTGAGTAAAAATAAATATGTAAAAAAAAAACAATAGACAAAGAGACATTAAAAAGTATATTGTATGTACAGATGTGCTATAGACAAATTATGCAAGGGAATGTGGATAGATGTAAGATATATTAAATCAATAACATACAGTACGTATAATAAATATAAGTATAGATAGTTGGGTATTGCACATGTTTTATTGCACAGTGGGGAGAACATTTAACCGTTCATGAGGTAGATGGCCTGAGGGAAGAAACTTTTCCTATGTCTGGCCATTCTGGTGTTCAGTGTAGTGCCGGCCAGATGGCAGCAGTTCAAAGAGGAAGTGTGCTGGGTGTGAGGTGTCCACAGCTCTTTTACTCACTCTGGATGAGTGCAGTTCTTGGAGAGTGGGGAGGGTTGTACCAGTGATTTGCTCAGCAGTCCGGACTATCCACTGAAGTCTTCTGAGGTCAGTTTTGGTAGCTGACCCATGTTCCATCCTACGCTTGGTGCCTGCGATGTTTTCATCTCAGGATAACCCATCGCTGCATCAGAGCTGTGGCCCCTTTAAAAACACCTCACCTGTTTCAGTCAGGCATCCTGTTGCGACTGACCTCCAGAAGGAAGCATCAGAATCAGAAAGAGCTTTATTGCCAAGTGTGCTTACATACACATGGAATTTGTCTTGGTGACAGAAGCTTCCAGTACACAGACAGGTTGACAAGTGACAAGACACAGATAACAAAATAAAAATAAGTGAGTAAAAATAAATATGTAAAAAAAAAACAATAGACAAAGAGACATTAAAAAGTATATTGTATGTACAGATGTGCTATAGACAAATTATGCAAGGGAATGTGGATAGATGTAAGATATATTAAATCAATAACATACAGTACGTATAATAAATATAAGTATAGATAGTTGGGTATTGCACATGTTTTATTGCACAGTGGGGAGAACATTTAACTGTTCATGAGGTAGATGGCCTGAGGAAAGAAACTTTTCCTATGTCTGGCCATTCTGGTGTTCAGTGTAGTGCCGGCCAGATGGCAACAGTTCAAAGAGGAAGTGTGCTGGGTGTGAGGTGTCCACAGCTCTTTTACTCACTCTGGATGAGTGCAGTTCTTGGAGAGTGGGGAGGTTTGTACCAGTGATTTGCTCAGCAGTCCGGACTATCCACTGAAGTCTTCTGAGGTCAGTTTTGGTAGCTGAGCTGAACCAGACAGTTATTGAAGTGCAGAGGACGGATTCAATGATGGCCGAGTAGAACTGTATCAGCAGCTGCTGTGGCAGGTTGAACTTCCTCAGCTGGCGAAGGAAGTACAACCTCTGCTGGGCCTTTTTCACATTGGAGTCAATGTGACTGTCCCACTTCAGGTCCTGAGAGATAGTGGTGCCCAGGAAC